ATAGACTGTGGCCATAACGAGTATTTATCAAGTTTCAGTCAGAAATCCTCATTCACTTCACGAGATTTTTCTTGACTGCATATTAAAATCAACTTCAAAACCATTCTTTTTTCATATGAGCACAATTCATCTTTGATCCAGTATACTATGTATGCTAGAACACACTGGGAACCTGTAATATTACTCGCGAGCACAAAATCCGAATATTTGAATAGTTTGAGAATTGATCGTATAAACTTCCGAATATCGAAGATACATATTTTTAATTAAATATTCGAATATATTGGAATGCTTTCATGAAATGCATTCATTCATCAACATGATAGAAAAACCATTGCCGCACTTACAAGTCATAGGTCAGCAGTAGAAAAGAACCGATCAATCTTGGGATTAAGTGTTACAACTGCTGTAGGTTACGACTTCTCCAAGCTCCCTCTAACAAATTAGCATGCACCGTGAGTTCTCTACTTAGGAAAGGGAGGAAGAAGATCATCAGAAAGAGCAATGCCTGAGTTATATTGGAGTTCTCCTGTTAAGCCCCACGTTAAAGTTTTTCCCTTACAAACTTTTACTTCCATTTGTGATCCTGGCACCCAATGCCAGCATAAACTTATTGATTTTGTGATCCTTGAAATTTGAAGCGTAACTTAGGTCATCTTCCAGAGGTGATTGAAATAGGTCCAAGCTCTGGTCATGTCAAGACCTCTTTTGCTTCTAGTCATCTAGATTAGTGACTTTCTGAAATGTGAAATCTACACTCAGAACCTTGAGACATAGTATGACAGCCTGATTCCGGCACCATGGCGTATGTGTTGGAGCCTTCAAACGTTTAGTATTGATGCTTCTAACAAGACTGTAGCAACTCTAGCTGAATTAAAATGCAATTGAAAACAAAATAAGTTACGAGAACTCAATTCCTTCGTTTGAGGAAGTCCTAGTTCCTATAACGAGGGTCTTGCAACATTGAGGATTTGAGTCCATATATCGTGCTACATGAACAAATGTTACGAGAGAATAAAACTTCCGAGTGCTTCGTTCGAGTCGAAGAAGTCACATAACATCGCGACAAAGCGAGCACAGAAATGGTGGTCGTACGTGCCAGTTTAAAAGATCAGCATATTGTTAAAATCTTTGTTGAAGGCAAATATGTTTGCAGGAAAACAAAGATACATTTACAGTAAACCCGGAAAATGCCTATGGCAATAATATTTCACCACTAGATGTAACTGTGAAACAAAATGGAGCGACGTTGTTAGTTAGCATTGGTACTAACAGCAGGTACATTAGATACTACTTAGTCTAAAAGAACAGCTAATTTGCATTCAGATTCGTGCCACCGGTAGATCTTCCGAAAAATCCTGGAGTATCGGATTCAAAAGAGCCGTTGACGCTCTCTTCTTCCGTTATTGGAAAGTCCAACGTCTTTGCCTTCCAGGTTGTGCGGAAGTCAACTGGAACAAAGCTCTGGGACACTTCTATAGGTTAGGCATTAATTAACTTACTTTCATGGAAAGCCCTGAACTTAACTTTTAGGAGGAATGCAATTTGCGGACAAGTTTATACAAATAGCTACTTATCTACCGTCTCGCAATCTATTCGGCTTTGGCCAGCATATTCACCATCGCTTAAAGGTTAAAAACTTGACTATTTAGATTTAGAATTCATATGAAGGGTGTTTAAATCGTTGACAACCTATCGCTTTTCAATACTTCCTTATCAAGCAACGCAGAGGAACCAAATAACTTTTTCACACTCTCCTTTGAGGGGAAAGCGCATTTTTACTCAATTTATCGCTCTGAACTGAAATTGTTTTTAAACCACTTTAGTCAGTGATGCTCACGTATCATACTTATATACCATGCTTTTTTTCTGCACTTTTTTCCGCATTTTTTAGAATTTTTAGCCGTAAATGAAGTATAACTCCTGAAACTTCTTCTCCGCCCTTTAAAAGAAAACTAGCAACATGTTTGTTTCGCCTCTTGAAAGACAACGTTTCTCGTAGTACCACTAAAGATTATTTCAGTAGGTGCTAGCCTTGAGAGACCCCACACTGGTACACCTTCAATGTTTGTCGGAGACCATATACGGTGACTTCAATCTTCGCTGTAAATCGCAAACCGTGCATCAAACATATATCTTCTTTTTCGATGGTATCCATGCAAGGCATAGCTTTTAATAACAGAGTGGTTCAAAAAACGTTCAACGTTTTCATTGAGACGGACCTTATAGAAATCTGACACAATTAACAATAACCGGAGTGAGAAGGGGTCTTACTTAAAGTGTGACCATTGTATTTCGATTAGCTTACTGTTAGTAAAATAATAGATTTTTAAATAGACTTCAAAATATCGCAGCGAATTAGTCTGTATCTCAAATGTGGTTTTTTGCCTATTTAATCATTGCTCATTTCAAAAAGAGCAAAACTGGAAGGTTTGGGATCCCAGTATTGAATTTGTTAAGCAGAATAACACCTACAAAATATATACATCATACTAAGAATTAAGGAAAAAGCGCGAAGAAGAAAATTACTAAAACTTAGGTAGCATCTAATTATATATTACCATTGTACTTTCGAAATTTTACTGTTGTCATCTTTGCCCGAGAAATTTTCTTATCGAGACCAGTTTTCCAGTCTTAAAATTTGTTTGGATATGTTATGCTACCTGATCGTAAACGTTAAGATCCAATTATAGAAACTACTGGAAAAGCATCATAAGAATATTTGAGAACATTCAAGTTCAGGAGGTTGTTAAAGCATGTTTGATACGCTCCACCTAAAAAAACTTAAATTATCTAGTTTAACTACATAGATGTTATCAAGGCAGAGATAACAAGTGAGTTTTTGGGAGTTATGCTTGGAACTCCGATTATGAGGCACTTCCTTTCTTTATGTCTAGGGGAGTTTATTTAGGGAAAGCAGAGAAGTAAAATTTTATTTCGCCAATAACAATATTCCTGAAGCATGCTTTAATAAATATGTATTTGGAGTCATGAATGCAAACTATATCTCATAAAATTTTACAGTGTAACATTTCATAGAATTTCCTTATAAAAGTTTGAAATCCCACTTTTTTTCAAT